TTCCTGCTACTTCAGTACCATAAACTGATTCTTACTAGTACTGAGTACATCTTTTTTTCCCCTTAGTCTCTTTCTAGGAATCCTTCCTCTCTCATTTGCCATTACATTCTGAATTTAAAAAAAAGCCAAACCAACCAACCAAAAAAAAAAAAAATCATCAACTTCCTTGTGGTCTGAGTACTACATTTTGAACTACCCAGAAGACTAATAAGAAACACGCTATGAGGTTTATTGTCACAATATTTATGAGATTAAATTTTGCAGTTACAACTTTTCAAATGCACATCATTTTCTTCTAGATAGTCTCCAGGAAAAGATGTTTTATATGCTACGAAGATCAGTGGTGTCTGGTTCCATTAGCTCAAAATCTCCAAGAGCTGACAACTTCCATTTAATGTCTTGCCACCAATTCCAGCACTGAATGTCTGCAGGGAGGTCCTCTCAAACTGACTGCCTAACTGTTCACGTAAATCACACCTTCATTTGCTCTCCCCGAAGAAGTTCAAACAAATCAGGAAGTTTGCCTATGGTCTGCTAAACCTCATTCCTTTAATCAACTGAAAGAATTCTAGAAACTTCATGCCTAGAGCACAGTCCTCACAGAGCACACACCTACTCCTGACTAACCACTACTTCTTTTCAGATATCCAATCTGTCTTCAGAACTTGCATAAGAAAGAAGAGGCTGGAGTGGATGTAAGACTCACTTTTTGACACAAAAAAACCGAAACAACTCAAGTGGAGAAACAAAATGCCAGACTTGGAGATAGTAAGAGGAAAAGGGGGAACAGAAAAGAAAGAAGAAATCAAAACTACTTACCAAGAAATGGAATAAATCATCTCACAACTACTTGTATAGTAAGGCCAGAATGATGGGAAATAAACAAACTGAGATAAAAGCAGTTATTCAAGGAGGAGACTGTGGGGGACTTGAGAAAAACACAGCAGGGTAGGTCACAAGAAAGGAATGCAAACACTAAGAAAGCTATTTCAGACCTAGTAGAAGAACAGAGTTAGTACTATCTGTGAAATTACAAGTACTAAAAGATAAATAACTCTGATGGAAAACAAAAAAAAGAGTTTACGAGATAAAGTTAGAAATTTAATGAAGGAAATTAAATAGCCTGTATCTATTATAGATTTCAACTTTGAATGAAAAAAGCATTGCTCTTTTATAATTCTGACAATAGACTAAAGTCCTCGTGTTTGGTACAGAAATGATTTTTCTAGGAAACATTTAGGAAAAAAATCTAGATATGAGAGGCAGCACAATAACTTGAGGAAGCACTGAGAAGGTAGGAAATTGTAATTATCTTTCCTTATAATCTAAGAGACCAGCAACTGGAAAAATTTATACTCTCTCTTCCAAATACAGTCAATCAAAGTGTGTATCAGGGAGCAGAGGAAAAAAGGGGGCAGGTACACTTCTTAAGCCTTCACATTTTTGCCAAGTTCTAGATAACAGTGAGATATCATTCCTTAGAAATGATACTGAGATTCAATTCCAAACACACTGGAACCTAATCAAAACTGGAGACAGAATTTCAGACTGAACATTGTATACAAACTATCTACTTTGAAGATCTGGAACAATTACCAAAGCATAATTTCAAGATTCAAACCAGAAGAGTTTCATTGTGTGACCAAACAGGTCAGTTTACACCTGTTAATGAGTGTTCCAATATACCAAGAGGTATAGTAACTTACCTGTTCCAGGAATATTTTGCCTACACACCTAAGCTAACAGGTTTTGCAAGAAAACTTTTTTATAAGCTACGCCTCTGATAGGGACATAAATCAGCACCTGTCATAGAGCAATAACAAAACAACAAAAATGAAGCCCTAGACTCAGGAGTGTGAAAGATCTAGAATCAAGGCATGGGAAAGAAAGACAATTTTGTTTGTGTATTCTGCATAGTATTCCCAGTACTTCTAATTTGTTATTAAACAGCCCTGGAGTAGACTACACCAAGCAGCTGCTCTCACTAAAGGATTGACTTAAGTTTTATAAACATGACTCTCTATACTTTTGCTACACTTCATACAGCAGCATGGCAAATTTGTCACAGCTACAACTACACTGAATATTTCGAACTTTAACTAAAATAAAGCAACACAGGAAAAATGAGTCTAATTTGATCCTTACAAACACAAGTATAAACAATCTGAAGATTTACTGTTCAACATTCTTGCAGTTCTCCATTAGATTTTGATCCAGTTCTAACCTCAAAAGACTCAAAATAGCATTTCCCAGAAATCCAGAATTTCAGTTTCACAGACATTAACCTCCTCCAACAGTAAGATTGGTAAAAAATAAGAACAAAAAAAAGAAAATAAAAATTGCTCAATCCATGGCCTCTGAAGAACCTCTGAATCATACCAGATGCAAAAAGCTTCCCAAGATTTTCATTCTGAATAGATTATCTATTTTGCCAAACTGCTGCAGTTCAGATCAGAGGACCCAAGTGTAATAAGCCATGTCAGCTCACACAAGGAGGTTACTGTCAACACAACGAAAAAACCTCCGTGCTTCCTCACCAGAAGATGACTCAATACTGAAGAACGTCTTAGTCTGAAAAATGGAAGCTACAATGAAAGACTTCAAGGAGATCCTTTCAAGTGCATGTCAGAACTACCCAGGGCAGCTGGCAGTGCTCTGAAGGCTCGTTCAGCAGGAGAAGCTGTCCTTGCCTGCAGTTCACTGCACACTGACCACTGATGTAACACTAAAAGCGATGTCAGTGCTCCCCTCACAACTGTAACAGTTCATACTTTTGCAAGCCAACTAATTCCATCTTCAGTTTCTATTACTCAGCAAGTCAAGCTGAAAGGTCAGTTTATGCTCCCCTCCCTCCAGCATGAGCACACAGATCTCTCACATGCACACGGTTTGCAGCCTTGTAGAGACAGCACCACCATTGCCTTCATCAGGTCACAGGCCTCATTCCACCCCAGACACACACTGCCCAAGGACTTCCAACCTTTTGTCTGGCCTTCTCTTGGACTGCACTCACATTTTGAGCTTGGATTTAGCTGTAGCAGCACATGCCTTGCAGTTGAGTGACTTAACTACAACAAAGTCATTGCAGTCAAATGACTTGTGTCTAACCTGGGTTTAGATTCAGCTCATCTCTGTGGCCTTAAGTTATTTATAGCAGATACAAGAGAAGTCTAACAAAACCAGAGTGATTTTTGGATACGCTTAAGTGATAGGCTTTTGGATCAACACAAAGCATTAGCAACTGACTGCTTGAAAGTACCCAGGAAAATCCCAGGTACGGACACTACAAGTGCCCTCCTTCCAGCAGGGCTCAGATTGCTGATGATGCTCCATACACTGATTACTGGAAACCAGCTGCAATCAGACCACAAGCATTAGCATCACTGTAATTGGTTAACAATAAAAACTGCTGCCTCTGATTAGACTGCTAGAGCATTCCTTAGACTAACAATAAATTCTAGTTCTTGACTCCACCTATGATATCAGGATCACAGGGTAATTCAGGTTGGAGGTATCTTTCCCTAGTCAGCACAAAACCCACTCAGCACAAACTGCACAGTATAATACATTCTATTTCAAACTTTTAATTCTTTTTCCCCAATTTCTATATCCAAGGACTGTAACAAGATCAATATTTCAAAAAGGAATTACGCTTGCCTAACGCAAAAACCTAATAAGAAGCAAAAATACAGCAAATATATTTATGATGGGATAGTTTCATGATGAGTATAATCAAAAAAATCTTGCTGTGGTAAGCACTACACCTTAGCAATTACTGTGAAATTCCTTAAAACAATTAGGTAAATACAGCTGAAGAGCTAAAGGAGCATTTTTTAAAAGCCCTTAGCAATTTCTTTTTCCACATAGCAAGCACACTAAGTAAAATAAAAAGTATCTTTTCAGCTCTCAGTTTTTCATCTCAGCCAGCAGCCAACTGCATACAAAGGAAGAGTAAAAGGACAAATACACACTGATAGTTATGACAAAATACTCCCTTCTGTGTGCTACGCAACTAAGGGATCTCTGGTAACTTTGCATTCAATCACTTCTCTGGTACCGTCACGTAAGCGCAGATTATAATTTTTTTTCTTCCAGCATTCCAGAAATGTCAGTTGTAAGTACTGTCAAGAGATACAGGTATTTTTAGAATACTGGCTAAGCTATTGTAAGCTACAGAGAAGGAACTGTTCCTATGCAGATGTGTAAAGTAAACATAGAAGTTGCAACACACAAATCAAATTCCTCAGTAAAGCTCTTACATACATGCTCACACGTGCAACTAGAGCTCCTAGAAAGCTATTAGGCACAGTAAGAAGGTTTAGAAACATTTAACCACACGATGGACAACAACAGGCCTTAGCTTTTAAGTGTAGACTGTATCTGACCAACTACCAGCTACCAACAGAACTCATCATTTGAAGTAACGTGACAAGTTCGCAATCTGCCTGATTTGCTCTGAAGTCCATCACTTTTCCAGGTTCTCCTTTTCAGTACTGAAAAGGATAAAGGTCTTTCTAACCTTATCATTTAACTATGTAACCTATTTCTGTTCCATTTGAAATTCTGAATAAAATAAAAATACCGAAAAGCATTTCCAGAGCAAAACACAAGCATGATTGCTGTAACATCAACCTTCAGAGATGTAGGCAAAATAAAGACCTGAATGCATATAAATATTAAGAGATACAAGCATTAGAGTATTTTGCCACCACAGCCCTGCTGTGCTGAGACAATAGTGCTTCATAAAGTGTGAAATTACAAGTGCTTTTCTAAGATTAATTAACTGTAATTCAGGCCTGAAGTAGCAATCCACTGACAATGCACAATGAATAATGAATGCAAGTGCTAGATAAAAGGATTCATTGTCTGAATCTCTAACATGGGGCCTCCAATTTTGGAATGAAAGGGAAAGAAAGGTGGAACAATGTAAAGCAGAAATGTAATGAATTGAGAATTTTGTTGAAATATGCAGTTTTACATTTTGAGTAGCCAAGGTTTCCTTAAAAAATAGCTCATAAAGTGAACCTGTACAGCCTTGCAGTCACTGACTTAGATATGCACTTTTTGCTGTTTAAAGATGTTTTGTGAGCATTTATTGCAGTATCTAGTAACTGCTTACTTTTCCCTTGGAAGTGACTACTGGAATGCTCATAGCTCAGAACACTGGACCGTACCCCAGGCTGTTTTGCTGCACAGGTTACACTGAGTGGCAGAGGCAGAGAAGTACTGCTGCTTCCTCAAGCATCATCTTCAGGCTAGTTTGGACCTGAGACTTAACATGTGTTAAGAAACTTACCTAGAAGCTCTTCAGTTTATACTGCTATGGTCACAGTTCGTAAGTGGTTGATGTTTTCTGATGTTTCTTTCACTCTAAGTGTAGTTTAGACATTATTGAAAGTGCAGTAGAGAAGATCTGCTTTTTACTTGTTTTTATTTGTAATTCAACAGCATCTCAGAAATATAGTTCCCATTTCCATGGCGAAAAAAGAGAACCTAATTACTGTATATACCACTTTCCTAATTACACGTAGGCAAACCACACATGGGAGGATGAATCATAAATGGTAGAACAAGAAGAAACGACCGAACATACTATTTTGTGTATTCTGCTTGTTAAATTACTATTAAAAAGGCCTGCAAGTTAAACAGTTCTCACTGTGCTACATATCCTACTGAAAACCGAATCAAGAATACTACTTCTTCCTATCATCTCGACTCTGAATTTGTAGCAGCAACTACAAATTCAGGAAGAGTGGTTTCTGTCACCATCTGCTTGTCCCTTCTCCCACAGCATCTTACTGCCACTTGCTTCTGCTCACATTTCATTCCACAAACATACATTCTGTACACACTAATATAACATTTATCAATATTGTACATGTTTTAGCCAAATAAAATTTTATTAGCGGAAAATAAACATTCTTGTTGGAAAGCTTCATCAGAACTCAGAACTGGCAATCCTTTTGGAAAAAATAATGGCTAGAGATCCTGCAGCTCTGAAAGAGAGGGTAACTGAAGGATTCTAAGCCACATCTACCATGATGGTAGAGACACACATGAGGAACCACAAACCAAATAGACAAAGAGAACACCTAACCCAGCCAGGAAAATAAAATGCAGAGGGGGTGGAACAGACACGACTTGCAACGCTGGAGAGGAAGGCATGCAGTAGAGAAGATGTGAGATGAGAATGGGCAGATAATGGCAAAGCAGAAGAAAGCTCAGATCTCAGCTATGTTATTTAACGCAGTGTAGACCATGTAGAGATACCGTCTCAGTGTGGAAAGCTGTATCCATGCACAGGTCTAAAATAGAGAGAATAAAGCCCCTCTCTCACAACAGAAATAAATATTCCTCCTGTTTTGTTCATGTTGAGCTTTCATTAAAAAGGCATCAGAAAAAAAAGGCAATATTTTAATTTGAATAAAACACAACTGAAATTAAAAGGAAAAAGCACCATCATAGAGCTCCCCTGAAAAGCAATCACTTCTCACCAGAAGACATCCGTGAAAACAAATTTTGTAGTGAAATTAAGTATTGTGACTATATTTACCAAAAATATTTCTAGGGAATCTTAAGAAAGATAACAGAAAACAGTAACAATTAAGATGGTCTTCTGTCCAAAAGGAACAGCTTTAGATGACATCTATGCAAGCTGCAACAGCTGTGTCAAACACTCACTGCTGCCATGAGCCTTTTGAGCTCCAAGTAATACGTCATTATACACTTAGGAATTTTTTACCTTTACAGGTTAATCAAGTCTCACTTTCCATTCAGGTAATAGTCTCCACAGCAAAAGTGACTTTACCCATCACAGAACACAGCCACTACTGATGTGGACTAGGTAGTAACTTGCAATGGAAAACCAACAACCTATGTTGGACACTTTAAGACAACTGGAACCCTATCAGGATAAAGCCATCTGGAGAAACCATAACTCTTTGACACTACTTCCTACCAACAACCAAGTATATTCTCAGAAATTTATTAAAGAATTAACTAAAAATTAAACAAGAAAGCTTTTCTGCTAGAGAAATCATCACCTGTAAACAGACAGTATGATGTTGTCTTCATGCATTGAAAAAATCTTTTGTCAAACTGTGAAGTCTCATGTGAGAATACAGCTATACATATCGACTTCTGAAATACTGTTAGGAGTACACATGCTAAAATGCCTCTGTACTCTTAATGCAAGCACCATTATAAAAATTTCATGGTTGGACTTTATGACTTTCTTCAAGTACCCAGGCATTTCACATCCACCCTAATTGACATGCATTTCAAGTCACATTTGACCTTTTTGGTTTCTCACACACTGCAAATGAAGGCAGAATTAGCCTAATGTTTTAAGACTGTTGATCAAGGTTCTTGGAATATATTTCAGCTTTTGAAGTAGTATATATCTGACAGTTCTCCCAGAAGGGTGAACCAAGTCTCCTTTTTTATGACTGCCAGGACTTGCCCAGCCTCCTGGTGCATAGGAAATCAGAGACATGGAACAGCAAGTCAAGGTATGACAGAGAAATTTACAGTGCATGCGTTAGCCCAACAAAAATAAAATTATTAAAATGCAGAAACACTAGAAAAGAATCTACAAAATCTTACACATGTTGTTTTGCAGTCTATAAAGGTAAAAATACTCCTTCGGAACTCATGACAGATACTCCTCCAAGTATTATGCTAAATCTATCTCGAGATCAGAACTGAAATGAGTTTTAGTTTTGATTTCAAAACTAAACACATTGTCAGAGAACTTTCAAAATAAATTCAGTAGAGAATTTGCTTGAGTAATGGTCTTACAACAAACATCTCTGAGCAGCTCCAAACAAAAAGAAAGAATGGAAATTATACTGGATACAGGCATAGCTCAAGCTGTCTTTTGCCTGTGTGACAATGAAAATGTTCCAGTTTGAAAAGCACTTTTCATTTAAACTGTCACTTTTGATCTAAACATTTTAAAAATTGCTAACTGCTAAGACAAAATATCTGAACAAATAATCAGTCCATTTCTTATGCTAAAATTTACAAGGACCAGGCTTAATATTACT